GTTATTTTGTCATTCTAACTATTTTATCTCGAAATAAGTTATCTTGAAAGTATTATTCCACCCAAAGGCAGAGATAACTTATCTCGATACGTTCTTATCATTTATCATGAAGTTATTCCAAACTTTATAACCAAACTCATGAGTCAGGATTATCTCCTTTTATCCATCACATCAAATGTGTCCTTAATGTGGGATAAATATAACACACTACAATCCCAAGATAACTAATTCTTGAAATAAGTTATTCCACAAGTTTATCCCAACCAAACAAGGAGTGAAGTACTCATCCTAAAATTAATCTGAATCAGTTATTCCTTATCCCTTTTACCAAACGAACTACCAACCTAACCCACCCAACCCCACCCCACCCCACCCCTTATTATCTTTTATCAATTCCTCTCTTAATAATATTTTCCAAGTTTCTATTTAAAAAGAACAATAGCCCACAACTTTCTCCCATGCACTTGTCTTCTTCACCTCCAACACTTGTTCCTTAGTGTTTTTTTTCATATGGTTCTCTTCTCTCTTTGCCCATAACTTGTCTCTCAAATAGTTATCATCCTCTTCTCTTTTTAAACTCCCCACAACACACACAACTCTCTCACATATTCATTCAAACAACACATTCTATTACTATATATAACTTCTATCTTGACACCTTAATTAACACAACTTCTTGCCTACTTAACACAATATAATGTCAAATCGAAGAACACGCGGTTCGAGACAATCATCAGGAGCTTCTAGAATAAGTGATGATCAAATTGCTGATCTCGTATCAAAGTTACAATTACTTATCCCTGAAAGCCGCAGTACTAGGAGTTCCGATAAGGTATCATTTATTCAAGTTTAAGTTATATATACTGACAGTTCAAATTCCTTATATATAAACATGTTGAATTGTACTTATTGTGTTACAATGTCACATTTTGTAAATGTTAATTTGGTTACATTTTGTTTGTTCTCTTCTTTTACTTACTATAAACTATTTATGTTGTGTTTTGTACAAATGAATGAATTATATTTTCATGAAGCCATTCATATTTTTGTGTGGCCTTCATTATCTATTTAGGGATAAGTTTAATTTGAAAGTCATATTCTCATGCCCACTAGGCCATATTGCAAGCTCCCTCATTTAATATTTTGTGTTGCTTAAGCATGTGGTGTAGGACTCTTTGTCACTTCAACATTTCTTGGCCTAGTCTCACATTTAAATATGCATTATATTTACAAACATTTGATCTTATGTTAATTACATTAAAAAAATAATTCTCATAGTTATTGTTCTGTTACTATGTCTTATTTCTTGTACTTCTGTTACTTTTTTTTCCTAGACTTCTTTTTCTATGAGTCAATGGTCTATCGAAAATAGTTTTTCTATCTCTAAGGTGGGGGTAAGGTCTACGATCAGGGGTGGAGCCAGCTGAGTGTCGGGGTTCATTCGAACCTCCTTCGGCAGAAAATTGTATCATTTATACATGGTTCAAAATTATTTTTTATGTGTATATAGTAGTTGTTGAAACCCCTTCCGCTAGTTCATGTTTTTACTTATTCAAAACTTGAACCCCTTAGTAAGAATTCTGGCTCTGCCACTGTCTACGACTCTTCGTACATTCTACCTTCATCAGAACTCATCGGTAAAGCAATTTCTAAATTTTTTTAATTTTTTTTTTTGAAAAATAGGTTGAAGCTTCCAAAGTGTTGCAAGAAACATGTAATTACATAAGAAGTTTACACAGAGAAGTGGAAGACTTAAGTGATAGATTATCAGTGCTTTTGGAATCTACTGAGAGTGACAGTGCTCAAGCTGCTATTATTAGAAGCCTATTTATGTGACAATTATTGCCATTATTTGAAGATTACTAGTTATGTAACAATAATTTCAATTTACTAGGTTCTATTTTCATTTGTAATTTACTTTAATTATCATCTTGTTATTATTTTTCTTCTTCTAAGATGCAATAGTACTTATAGTTAATTAATTAATTAAGACATTATATTTGTATTGAGAAATTTACTAAATATTTATAAATTGACTATGGATTCAGTTATTATTATAGTCAATCCTCTTTATAGTGACTATGTTCGTCTGAAAGTTTCATGATTACTATAATGAAGTTTCTTCATACATGTATGCTGATATTTGACATTTAGATCTTATTTAACTGCTATAAACAAAAGTATGCAAGATTATTACTTTTTATGTTGTAAGCGGAAAAAAAATATTTCTTAACCAATTTAATGAAAATAATATAGAGTATGAATATAAAAATAAAAAAAATAAAAAACAAACATTAGTCGTCTTTCCTAGTGAAGTTATGACCATAATTATTGTAAACCATTTAAATACAATTCTTTTTAAACTTTTTGATACTCATACATAAAAGTTATTATGTGCATAACATTTTTATATATAATATTATTTCTTACAAAATATTATTACACAATATATTTTAGTATATAGTTGTTATAGAGGACTAGTTTTACAAAAGGTGTATTAGTATATATATCATGAATATTGTTATTGTTGTTGGAGATATAATGTTATTATACAAAAGTAAAATAAAATATAAAATTTATTCAGAAGAAAATCAGGTCATATATAGTGAAATGCCATTATAAGGAGATTTAACTATATACAATAACTTGATATCATGATAAGAAAGAATAAAATTTAAATCTTGAATTCGACAGAGAAGTCTCCCCCCCTCCCCTCTTCTAGATTGACTAGCATCAGCTATGAAATCTTTTTCCTACATAGATTTGGCAATTTTGGATATATAGTAGAATTATTGAGTATCTTCTAGATTTTAAGAGTGAAATGGATTTTTCTTTTATTGTAATTTTCTTTACATATTTTAAAAATATTTTGAATTATTAATTATTATAATTTTTAGATGTATTTATGTTGATCTTGTGTCCAAACATTTAAAAATTCTATATTCGAATTTAGGATCAATATTGAGATATTTAACTCAATTTTGAACGATATCATATAAATTGAGATATGTTTATAATTGTGTTATTTTCTCTCTCATATTTTAGGGCCCAAAATTACACATCAAAGGTGGCCCAGGTTGAACATGTTTTCTATGTGATGTCTTTTGACCAACAAGTAGAGAGATTTATGACTTACTTTAATTTTAGTCATTAGAAGAGTTTTGTGATAGATTTTTTTTTTTTAAAAAAAAACAAGATATTCTATTCTTAAGTTTCATCATTTTAACTATTTCTTGAAACTCATAAGCATTTTTCTATAAATTAAACTCCTTTCATTTCAACTTATTTGTTTTGAAACGTGTCACATAAATTAGGACGAAGACACTAGTCCCAAAGCATGTCCTTGGTGGTGGACCATTTCGTAGCTTGACAAATTAGGGGTTTCATAAAGGTTCATGTGCTGCAGCTTGGCTAAACATGGCTGTGGACCATGCAATAGAGAAATGCACATGATTTTATTACATTTCAATATTCTTTTTATTTTGGGGCCTCTCAAGATAATTTAATTATAAGATATTAATATATCACCCAAAAATCAAATTGCAAATTTGTAGCTCATGAAAGGGATAGTTTCAAATATATATATATAAATAAAGTAATTAGTTTATAACAAATAAAGTCATGTTTTTATTTACAAAATGATTAGTCAATACTGTCTATGCAATATAGCTTGTCAGAAGTAAGTTACCAATTTCAAAAAAAAATATAGCTTGTCAGAAGTCATAGAAAATATACACCGACTAATATAATATAACTTACATATATATGAACTATACACTGGCTATACATTATGATACACGCAAAAAGTTAAATAGTCATATATTCTGGTGGTGAAATACTTCCAAGAATTCTAACTAAGAAATTTGTTTCTCCGTGGGTTCACGAAAATTCAATAACTTCTATTTGAACCCTATACATGTATTAAGGAATAGAAGTTTGTTTCTCCATGGGTTTACGGAAATTCAATAACTTATATTCGAACCCTATATATGTATTAAGGAATTCACTGAATGACTATAGTTATTTGACTATGAATTCAGTTACTCACTTGAGATCATTATAGGATACTATAAACTTCAAATTCTGAATCCGCTTCCGTCCCGAGGAAAACAACATGAATATCTTGAGACTCCCATCATTGTTACCTATATTTGGTGTTGTACAAGCTTCCATTTTCTTCTACCTAATATAAACAAGCAAAAAAATAAATAAGCCATACAACTTGACTTTATATTTGGAATTTGCAGTAAAATGTACAAGGAGGAATGTGTATTAAACAGAACCAAAACATGCATTTATAGATGCAGCCAAATCCAGAAGTGGATCACTGGCTGCTAAATAGCAAAGCATTCAAAAACATGATGCAAATCGCGACGCCATACAACAATCTGTATCAAAATGCACCTATAGATGAACGATGAACGAAGGCATGAACCTACACTTACACTAAAACGAACCATTAAGTACAATACGAGATGTCACCATCTGCAGATTTACAAAATGTTGCTTGTGAAGAACAACACAGGTTAACGTCAATATCTTATTCATTATCAACTATGTCTCTCAATATCACTAAAAATATTCATGCTAGAGCTCCCAATGGAATCAGACAACAAGAAAACTGAGCCATATTAAAGGCCCTAAATGAATATGGCAGGAACACCCTTTGGTGACAACCAGATATATACCTCCACGAGGTAGTAGTAAGGTCTGTGTACATTCTACCCTCCGCTGACCCCACTTAATGGGATTTCACAGGGTATGTTGTTGTTGTTGAAGCAATTTCTCCATGCTTGGTTAAAACATCAAAACAATTTGTAGACACTTCTCAAAACACCAGAAAACTAATTATGTCAAACCACAGCGGGAAGGGGAACAGAGAGAGTTACAAGGTTGAAAATTAAACCCTCACCAACAAGGAAAAGTTCGGACTACTAAGATTCCCATGATCTAGCTACCTTCAAGAGCAATGATAGTATATCTTACAAGTGTGAATAAGGTCCAACTCTGGTAGCTGAAGTAACTACCTTTTTTTTTTTAATGGAAGAAGCAGAAGGGGTTAATGAGCGCTGCAGTAACAAGCCTTAAGAAATATGAGCAGAACATTCCTTCCGTCGGCCTTTATAGGAGTAGCAGAGTGTGGTGAGATAGATAGACATCCAATCCTGCAGCAGCTAGTTGCTCATCCTTAGTCTTGGACTGATCTCAGATTTCAATCAGCCCCTTCGTACTTCGATCCAATTAATCGATCAATCAAGAGGCTAATCTCTTTTGTTTGGGACGGTAGCTAAAAGAAAGTCCTTTTAAATTGATAGACTTTCCATTTCATGTTCAATGTTAAGCCTAAGCCAAGAAAGTACAAACAAAGTTAGAAATTTAACAGAAACATATTCAGGCTCCAAACATGCTAGGTACCAAAACAAATACCCAAGGAGCAAGTATCAAACGAAACCATTTAACGAGGACTCAAAATAAGACTAGCATTCCTTGAGACTCAAGAGGTTACCAGACAAGCAATTTAAAATGCCATTTTAGGGTTGGAGCATTATCTACTTCAGAAGAGCAGCTTGTTACCTGAAATTTTCATCTTCAACTTGTTTTGCCCTGATCAACGGCCTTCAAAGTAGAAATGTCCCAAAAAGATATGGACCACCTTAAGTTGAGTACATGTATGAAAAATCAAATGTTCTACGCAAGAATAGGCGATGTCCAGGATACTCCATTCTGAAGTAGTATTTTCTTGTTTCAAGAATTTGTCTTGAAGGAAATCACATATATATGACAGTTCGAACTCTAAGATTAGGAAGCATGAAGTATGTATACACAAAGTGTTGGATACTGCTAACTTCACAAGATCTAAACTAGACGCAGAGCTACAGTTTTGCCTATGGGTTTGGTAGAACCCAATAGCTTAGACTAAAACCGTGTAGTTGCGTTTAAAATCCACTTAATATGTATAAATAACTTGTCAAGCACCAACTAAGCTGTGTTTTCTACAATGCAAAACTCATAAACTTAAAATGCTAGCTCCATATCTGATTTAGAGGGAACTTGAGGTCATAGACTCACAACTCTGTACCACCACAAGAAACATTGGGCATTTCAACATTATTAAGGTTGTTGAACGTAGGGAACAAAGCCGTTATATGTTGAAAATCTACATCTCAGTTTCTAAACACTATCTTCTCTGAGATCAAGTTTGCATCATCTGCTCAAGAAAAAGATGCAGAGCGTCACAACTTAGCCATCTTCAAAAGATACCTTGTAATATTAGTCTACCTCCAATTCTTTTAACTATCAAAGTTTCAAGGTTCAAAACATTGGCTAGGAATGGTAACCTGCGTTCCTCAAAAACCTGAACATCAAGATAAGTCAAGGGTGAATTCCAAATCCAGTAATGCTGAAAAACTTGGAGCTTCTGAAAGATATTTGAAGACGAAGCAATTTGTGTGACATTTTTTAGAAGACAATGCTAGCATCCCTGAATATAGCTAGCTGCAAGTGACCATGATGAACTCCATTTTACGAATTTATCTTCTTGAGAATAAAGGGATAAACAGCAGGAACTCTCCTAGGCTTGCTTTGACTTTACCAGATTTTGAAACTTCGTGTTTTGTTTTCTAAAAATCCTCCAAAAATACAGAAAGCACAACTTAAAATGATAGGATAAATTCTTAACTAAGATGTATTACATCAAACCTGATACCAGAACAACTAAATGAGGTAACCTTCCACAAGTTTTTTTTTGTTATCTCTAAAGGTATCCAACTTTGGCCCTTAACCAAAGTTAATCAGGTAATTACATGTACAATTTCCCAAATTATTATCAGTAAGTTACTTCTTACTAATATCTTTGGTCACCTTCATTGTCAGATACAGTTTTCCTTCGTATACCTAACTTACAATAAAAGTTTATTCATTTTAGCTACTAATTCATCATTAGGACTTCACTAAGTCTAGTGATCTCATTAATAGCATCATGCAGAACAGCTAGTAACACACAAGACTAGCTACTAATTCATCATTAGGACTTCAATGAGTCTAGTAATCTCACTAATAGCATCATGTAGAATAGCTAGTAACACACAAGATGAGCTACTAAATCATCATTAGGACTTCACTGAGTCTAGTGATATCATTAATAGCATCATATAGAATAGCTAGTAACACGCTAATTCATCATTAGGACTTCACTGAGCCTAGCAATCTCATTAATAGCAATCATGTAGAATAGCTAGCATAACACAAGATTAGCTACTAATTCATCATTAGGACTTCAATGAGTCTAGTAATATCATAATAGCATCATGTAGAATAGTTAGAAACACACAAGATTAGCAACTAATTCATCATTAGGACTTCACTGAGCCTAGCAATCTCATTAATAGCAATCATGTAGAATAGCTAGCATAACACAAGATTAGCTACTAATTCATCATTAGGACTTCAATGAGTCTAGTAATATCATAATAGCATCATGTAGAATAGTTAGAAACACACAAGATTAGCAACTAATTCATCATTAGGACTTCACTGAGCCAAGTAATCTCACTAATAGCATCATGTACAATAGCTAGTAACACTAAAGATTGTGCCGATCTGAATGTATTTTCTTGACCAAGTAAATCAGTACTATTTTCCAAATTATTATCAGTAAGCTGCTTGAAAACACCCAAACTTCACGCAAATTATTAGTTTCATTCTCAAACCATTGACAGCCTTATAAACACCCGCTATACTCAACTAACTAAACTTAAATACACAACATCCACCGAAGTTGACTAACTGAATTCAAATACACCTGATATGTCACATGCCATAGAAAATAATCTCAATTTTACTCTGGTAGGAGCACGAAACTCTTAATTAAAAAACAAACAAAAGTCTTGAAAACACTCTCAGACTTGACAAAATTTATGCTTGTACTTCACTCATGTTGCAAAATCTAAGGTGCCTATACTATTATGTTTGGTCATTTTCATTGTCAAATAGGCTTTTTCTTCGTATATCTTATTTACAATAAAAGTTAGCTGCTAATTCATCATTAAGACTTAGCTACTATACTAATTCATCATTATTTCACTGAGTATAGTAATCTCACCATTAGCAAACACAAGATTGTGCCAGATCTGGATATATTTATTTTGACCTAAGTCATCTTTCCCAGTCAAAGCATACCACCAGCTTAACATAACCTCCAGATTTGAACACCTTTTTACTAATACTTTCATTAATCCTATTTTAGGCATGACATCATCAAAACTCACCATTTCATAGCTCATAATGAAGCTCATAGTGGGTTTTGAAGATGTCATGTGAAAAACAGAAGAACAAAAATACAAAGGATTGGCAGATCTAGATGTTATCAACTGTTGGAATGCCTGGACTGGGGAAGAAGAATTTTGGTCAAGCTCCTTCAAATTGTGGAATGTGGAGTGGAATGGTAACTAGGGTTTGCAAGGCATAAATAAGGGTGAATCATAAATTTTTAGGACAAAAATATCCTTGTTATTAAAAAATAATACATTTTTATTTTTTGCATAAGATACATTGTATTTATACAAACTAACTCTTCAACTTGCATGATTTTTATAATATCAACCCCTATATTTTGACTTTTATTAATTAACTAAAAATAAATATAAATACCTCTACTTAGTAAATTACAAATTTGGTTGTATTTAAACCTTGAGATTGAAGATGAATTTGTTCATGTTTTTCTTCCCCAAGAAATTAAGATTTTACGGTGGAGATAAGAAAACATGAAAAATATGTAACGATCTCAATGGTATGAGGCCATAATACAACGATCTGACTTAAGTAGGGAACGATAGAATTTCCACTATTATTGGTAGATCAATCTGGCCATGAGCACGGTGGGAACATGCTTCCCAATAAGCCATAGTCAACATACTACCACCATATGTGGTGGTCCATATGTTCAATATGCGAGAGCCTCGCATGTTGGTTCACATGAAATCCGACTTAAAAACGTATTTATAAGTTTTTTATCATACTGCCACCGTCTATATGTTCAACATGCGACGCGCATGTTGTTCCACGTGAACTCCTGAATCCAAATTTAAGCAAAAAAATTGATTCAACATATGATACGACATGTAAACCATATGTCCAACATACAGTCCGTGTGTTGCTTCGTATATCAACACCTAAAGCTTTGAAAAATCCCAATTTTGACCCTTTTCCCTATTTTGTATAAATACAATTTTTTTCGATAATTATTCGTGTGATTTTCATGTGTAATTCACAGTTAGCCCAATACCATTAAAATCCATTAATTGCAGCCCAAATCTTACTAGCTTCTAAAACTGAAATATCAGCCCAAAGAAAGCCCAATTTCTTTAACCTAGTACCCCTTTATAAACTATATTTTTCCTTTTGCCCAATTATTGCGCCTCCACTGTTTCATAAACAACCATTTTTGTTGAAAAGGAAAACTCCATTATCGGTGTTGAAGGATTGTTGTCCGTCTATATTGGGTAAGATATCTCTGCCCAAAATTCAAGTGATAAGAGTATATTTTTGGATATTTTCTTTGCCTAATTCTGGTATACCAACAATTGAGATAACATCTAGGTTTGATGATCTTTTGATTAGCTAATTGTATAGTTATCACCTGTACACTTGCACAAAATTATTATTGAACCTTGATGTTATCTCAGTGTTGGCATGCATAAATTGGGTAAATTTATGATTGAATGTGTATTCTGGTGTTGTACCAAATCCAGGCATGCCAATTATTGAGATGGCATCTCGGTCTGTTAGTTGCTGTGCAGTATGATCACTGTGGCAGGATCTGTGTGTTATGCAATAGTAAGTCATATTCTTTGCTTTCCTTGCCGCTTGTTTGGATAGTTGTTGTATATCCTTTCATAAGGTATAGTATTGTATAATTAGAGACGGATCTAGAATTTCTATAACACGGGTGCACTACCGAAACAAATTGAGAAGATTGAATGTATTAAGTGGAAATCGATCCTTGTTTCTTTGGGTAAATTAATATTAGATCAATTCTAGAAAGTACAACAATAACACATCACTTGAGATCCTGCCAAGTGGGGTCTGGGAGTGTAGAGTTTACAGAGACCGTACCACTATCTCGTTGAGTTGGAGGTAGACTTGTAGAGGTCTGAAAGACCTTTGGTTCAAGTACATTAAAAGGATGTACATAAAATACCTAGGTTGGCCTAAACTAGACTATAAATACATCCATACGTTCGCCCATGATTGTATTGTGCTGCTGATGAATACAACCTTTGGATGGCCCTCAATAGGGATGGCAATGGGGAGGGGCGGGGTGGTTGCGGCTTAAACCCGCTAAGATCTCAACTCACCCCGCTCCGCCCCACATAACATATTTTGTTGTTTTCAACCCGCCCCGCCCCACCCTGCAAAAACCCGCCCCATCCCACATATTTTGTAAAAAGCATTTCAAATAATAGGCTCAGTAAGTTTTCAACTTATGAAATTAAAATTTTGTTTGTTGTTAATCTCTAAAATTAACATGTTATAACATTATTTTAACATTACAATGTTTTATAACTCTTTTAGATATGTCAGCAACATTTTTTTTGGTAGATTTGAATTGGTTACATTTGATGTAATAACAAAATATTAAATGCAAGTAGTGAGACAATTTTTTCTTCTTTCTAGTTTCTTAACCATTCAAAAACAGTTTACGTAAAGAAAATTATTTTAATAAATAATGCTCTATCACTCTTATAACATGTAAGAAGTTAAAATTAAGTTTGAACTCACATGAAATCACATATACCCACAACCCGCCCCACCCCACATTAATTTAAAAAGAACAACCTTAAACCTGCCTCGCACAACCTTAAACCCGCTCCGTCCCGCATAGCCTTAAACCCACCCCACCCCGCCCCGCATCCGCCTCGCATCCGTCCCGCTCCATTGCCATCCCTTGCCCCCAAGGCCTAGCTCGAGTGGCAAAAGGTGAAGGATTTGTGGCTTAGGTCTCAAGTTCAAGCCTCACACCACGCAATGCGAAATCTGGTATTTAAGTGGAGAAGGGTAGAGGGGCGGGCCCATTATCCACTGAGTTTAGAAGGTTGTGATTAGTCCAAACTCCAAAGGGTGGGTCACAAATGGATTTCTTTCTCAGTTATCAAAAAAAAAATACAACCTTCGGATATAGTTAGAGTTGTTGTAAGAAATATAGATTGAAGAATTAAATATGATAGTTAAATAATTAACACAAGAAAAGTGAGAAAAATTATAAGTTAAACATGAGATTACACCAAATAGTATCATTACGTAAATGGGATTTTTTGTTGTTGGATAACAATGGACTTAACGTTTATGATACTACAAAATTTATATAACAATCAAAACAAATATTGCGTTTGAAATAACAATATGGTATAACAAGTATGTTAACAATCATCCCAACAAGCTGTTTGTTTGGAATGTATGGATTCTTGAATCCAATAGTGCATTATCAATGTTGTGTAGGACTTGTTACTAACCATTGTTGAGATTACATAGGAAGTTTGTGTTTCTGGCACAAATAGTCTTTACGCTGAACAGTAAAGACTGAAAAATGTCAAGTGCCTTGGCTAATGGGCTGGCTGGAGCTGGTGGGGGCATAATTGCACAAATAATTACTTACCCCCTCCAAACTGTCAATACACGGCAGCAGACTGAGAGGGTCTCGAGAGAGGGCCGTGATTCTCGTGGCAGTGCCCTGTTTCAAATCTTACAGGTTGTTAGAAGCGAAGGCTTGCCAGGGCTTTACAGTGGCCTGAAGCCTTCTCTGCTTGGAACTGCTGTGTCACAGGGTGTCTACTACTATTTTTACCAGGTTTTTAAGAACAGGGCTGAGGCTATAGCAGCTGCAAATAAGAAAAGAGGCCGAGGGGATGGTTCTGTTGGGATGCTTTCTTGGCTCGTTGTGGCAGCTCTTGCAGGTTCAGTAAATGTATTGTTGACAAACCCTATATGGGTTCTAGTTACTCGTATGCAGACTCATACACAAGCAGAAAGGAAAATCGTGGAGGCAAAAAAGGAAACCCTATTAAAAGAAGCTTCTCAAAGTGTCTTAACAGCTTCTTCCTTGGAAGTACAACTCGCTGAGCTTGATTCATTGAAACCTCATCCTTACGGGACATTGCAAGCAGCACGGGAAGTTTATAATGAATCAGGAGTTACAGGATTCTGGAAAGGAGTCATCCCAGCATTGATCATGGTGTCTAATCCCTCGATTCAGTTCATGATTATTGAGAGTTTGTCGAAGCAGTTAAGGGCTAAACGTGCTGCAAAGAATAAAGACCAGCAGAATATAACTGCTTTGGAGGTTTTTGTTATCGGAGCCTTTGCTAAACTTGGAGCAACTGTCTGCACATATCCATTGTTGGTTGTGAAGTCAAGGCTTCAAGCAAAGCAGGAGATTAGTGGAAACGTCTCATTACGATATTCAGGTACAGTCGATGCTATTATTAAGATGATTCATCATGAAGGATTCAGATGCTTCTATCAGGGAATGCGCACAAAGATAGTGCAGAGCGTCTTTGCAGCCTCCGTACTTTTCATGGTGAAGGAAGAGCTCGTCAAAGTCTATGCTGTTTTGGCTAACAAGAGTAAGGTTAATGTATAGCTTGCAGTCATAAAGTGAACTATTTAATAAATCTTCTTGCTGCATAATTGCATATGATTGTACTGTATTCAAATTACAAAGTAATAATTGTAATATTCCCTAAAGAAAGCCATTGTAAGCTTGAAAGTGAAAAGTAGCTCAGGTGAATGAAACTATTATTTGAGATAACTTTGTCCTTTTTGGTTATATTTTGATAAATAGTGCATCTGTTGACTAAAATTGTGCTTCTGCTATGCCAAAATTAAGGGGTTGTTTGGTTTAGAATAAGTTATTTTAGGATTAATTATTCTGGGACCTGGGCATAAGTTATTCCATCATGTGTATGAGATAACTTATTTCATTACTATAGTAAAAATGGTGGACAAATAATCTTAGGGCTTTCTATTACTTCCAACCAAACACAAGATAAAATAATCCTGTGTTTTATTACGCAATTATTATACTGTATTCCGCACACCAAACAGACTCTTAATAGTACTATTTAGTTTTGTGTCATAATATAAGTAATATTTTTTACTCAAAAACTATTATTAGTTGAGTTAAAAAAAACACTATTATTAGGAGAATATAATGTCTTTAAAAATGTAAGAAACAAAATATTTACTTAAAAAACGTCTTTGATCCGAGACTACCTTGAATATTTTTGGATCAAATTATTAATGGATGACATTTTTATTCAATTTCACGTAATCTGAATTATTCAGATTTCAAAACAGGTATAGAACATTGAGTTAGAAGTAAACAAAATAAATAAGGCGGAATAGTCTGATGAACCTTTATACTTGTATCAGAATTGTAAAGTGGACCCTTCTACTTATGACTTTGTCAAGTGAATACTTAAACTTAACGAAACGCAATACTTTAAACCTTTTTTCATTTGAACAGAGTGCGTGTAATGCAACCAAACACATGTAGAATCCAGCTCATTTTTTAATGCCACGTCAGAAATTAAATATAAAAAAATAAATAATATTTTGTAAAAATGTTATTGTTTCCTCTCTCGTTGCACCTTCTTTCTCATCCCTTAATCCCTTTCATTCTCATCTGGTCATCCCAGTCGCCGCCCCACCACCCCCAAATCCAAACCCACCTCCCACTCCCACCATTTTCCATCCGCCTTAAGCATAAAACATACACCTTATGCCATAGCTTGAGAATTGGGTGTTCTCGTTTGGCAAATTTCTATAAATGATGAAATTCCTCTTCTTGATCTAATGCTTGCAAAGCTATACATGAATTTTCCTTCCCCAAAACACTCGGAGATTCAAGAATCCTTAGAAAATTTTTGAGAATACATAAATCTCCGGCGACCAAAAAAAGCTTGCTTGAAGTAACTGTGGAGATTTTAGTAATGGCGGTGACAGTTTTCTTCCTAATCTCCAGCAAAAAGCTGAAATCGAGTAAATGGACCAGCATTGAAATGATTCCTTGAGCTATTGCAATCAAAACATTCTTGTCATCTTCGTGTAACAACCCAAGCTGCGAGTCCAACATCGAGTTATTTGACTCAGTCGTCTTGATCTGAAGTCGAGTTATTAGGTTCCTCAATTCAACCCGTATAATCTTGTAATTTGAGCTTTCAATTTAGAGAGAAGTTTTCAATTTAAACCTTCAAATTAAAAGCTCAAATTATGTAACCCATTTTAGATTTGAAGACAAATAAATCAGCCTAAAGAATCATTCAAACAAAAAAGTTCTTCTTCTTTTCAATTTGTATGTTTGTTGTGGGATGTTTGAAGGATGAGTAATTTCTTTTAGAAATGGAGCAAGATTACAAAAGTAATGGTGGAAACAATGGAAACTCAACAATGGGATGACCTAATTTTTTTCTACAGAAAAAAAGAGAAGAAGAATGGGATATTTTTGTTTTTCCCGTTTTTAAATTATTTTTCTCCTCATAATAGGTGTATTTTTTATGAAAAGCATCAATATCACGCTCTTAATTTGCGTGTACCTCACTAATTTTTCCAACTCAGCAATTTTATTGCCACTTATGTTTGGTCCACAGTCAGAGGTGTTTAAAATATTGTGTTTCATTGATTATAAGTGTTCACTTGACAACGTCATAAGTAAAATGGTCCACTTTACAATCCAATACATAAGGGCACATCAGACCATTCATTGAACTCACAACTCATAAACATCCCTAAAAACATGAAATTAAATACAAGAAATTCTCTTATTTCATGATAAAATTCATTAAATTGATTACAAACAATGATTTTCTTGTCATAAAGAGTCTCTTTAAAGAGAATAAGCATGTCCCCCATCAAGTATATTTCTTGATCCAAAAACAGCAAATTCAACAATTTCATTACATCTCTTAGTTTCTGGGATAATTGGACAGTCAATGATGTTTGAACCAGATTTATCAACACAAATATAAACTTCAAAAAGTTGACTATTCCCATTTAAATCAATATTGCATTCTACACCAATAGTATGTTCAATGCCTTTTTCTATTGCTTTCTTGATTGCTTCCAAGTTGTAAAATCCTCCATTTGGTTGGATACCTGAAAATATTGAATTTGGTCTTATTAAAGGCACATTCAAAATTTGGATCCTCATTTTATATTGTCCACGCTCTAATTGGCAGTTTGAGTGTGTTGAGTGTTAGAGTCGATTAGAATCCCATATTAATTGGTTGAGAAAAGGATTGGTGGTCTTTTTATATGAATTTAGCATTTCTCCCCTCGTAATCTAGCTTTTGGAATTTAATTAAGCATATCTTACATGTTATCATAGGCCAGAGCAAACAAAGGTCCTACTATTTAATCTCACCATCACCCATTGTTTTTTGGGAAAACTACACAAATTGGACCCATTAGGCAAAGTATTTATCAGAATTTGACCCAACCCAATATATTTACCCTGTTTGGACCGACAACTTAAACTATTTACCCCACTGCCCCTTTGTTCTATTCACTGAACCACTGCTTCTTCATCCTTAATACCATCAAAGTGTGTGTGTATATATATATATATATATTGATGGTATATATATACTATGATAGTATCATGCAGTAAACACGCATTAGTAGTTAAAAACATGGTGTATGAAAGTAAATGGGTAGTCGCTTGTAATTTTTCTTTTTTTTGGGTACACGTGTTCTTTTCCCCCTTTTTTTTAACGTGTTTGGCCCATGAAAATAAGAATCAATCCCGCACGTGAGGGACGTGTTGAGATTATAATTAAGTCATTATGATATGCTTTATCTAACAAGTTAAATTTTTAGATGAGACGGTGACACGCTGAACACAATATAAATAACTCAAACTCAATTTTATTAAGAATGTCTAATATATATATTACCTGCATTTTTGAGAATTTGGAGTAGATTGACCTTTTCCTTAAGAGCAAGAGCTGCTTGGAAATAAGAATGCATGTCCAACATTGAAAGGGAACATGTACCATGTTTCTTCCATTCATGAGACCAAAACCTTGTTCCATTATTTGATGGACAAGATAATGTTGGCCAATTCTTTTGCATACTACTTATCAGGTCCGAGATCTGTATTATAAGTTGTAATTCGTCTCACGTCAATATAATTAAAAATAATGTATTTTTAATTCAAATTTCGAAAAACGAAAAATATCATCTAAATTCTTAAAACTTACTTGTGTTTCATCATAACGAACATTCTTGTTACAACTTTTGGGATATGATCCATTGAAGTAATTTGGCCATAGTCCATGAATACCAAAATCTTCTTCTGGTTTACCATTTGTAGGGTAACAACATTTTATCTTGCTGTCACATGATGCTGGATTCCACTATTTAGTACGGAACAGTAAAGAAATATAAGAATATGATTGTTAACTTTCAAAAGAAAAAAAAAAGAAATGAATAGGACTTATGAATCATCAACACACCAGCTAAGAAAAAGTACGAATACACCTTTCAATTTTTTGAATTAATCAAGAATGGATAATGATGAAGACGAATATAAACTAGTGTGTTTGGTAAAATAGGAGTCATTTTACTGAAAAATATTTGTCTAAAAATGATTTTCAATTTTTTAATTAAATGAATTTTTAAATCTAATTCAATTACAAAAGTTAACTCATAAGGTGAAATACATAATGAAGTTCAAAAAAGCTTCACATGCAAATTAAATACTCCTACGTTAGATGCAATGACAAAATCGAAATTTTCATTTAGTGAACTCAAAATTTGAAGAAGTAAACACTCAAAAAAATTTGAAGGACATCAACATCTACTGTATATATACATAAAATGTATTTTAAACTATACCCCTGAACCCTTACTAGCTCCTCCCCTGATTAGAAGTTTCAACTACTTATAAATTACATACCTGTTGAGTAAAGTAGAAGAAATCAAAATCTTGAGCATGTAATAACGTTACACATTGGAAAATAATGAGATTGATCAAGACAACATTAATGGATCTCATGTTTACTTAATTGTTTTGTGTAAATTTGTGTTATGGATGAGACTTAATATAAAGATGATGAAACCACAAAAGTTTGGAGTAATTGTTTAAATATGCCAGTTTGTTCCCACGTTATGGCAACGTGGGCAATATATTAATTTAATTAAACTATATAAAATTTAAATCATATAAGTAATAAAAAAAAATATTTTTAATATATGCTATAGTGGGAATTAGTGGAGTTATTCAAAATAGGGCAGCGGCATGCCATGTTCCATTTATTTTTAAAAAAGAACTTTATTACTATTATTTATAGATGATTTTGATGCTTCATTCTAGTAAATAAATAAATTAAAATCTTAAAGAAGATAGGGGTCGGACTTTGAATAAATTATTTACGTATCCTATTGGGAGAATTCAGGATCTACATAGTTTGAATAACTTAAGATAATATTTCAATATTTCTGATACACGAAAAAGGTATATTAACGACAACATTACATAAAAGTTCCATAAATTGAAATCTACGCTTCTACCTTCCAAATACTTGCTAAAACTTCATGCAATCTTGTTGACTCTTCTTCTTCAGTATAAATCTTGAATTAAATCTTAGTACTTGCGAGAATCTCTACTGTTCGTGTAAAATTAATGACAACTAAAATCAATAAAGTAAATTCTAACAATGTTATTTTATTTTTTTGTCTTGTGGTTAGTTGAATAGATGATCGCTAACTCGCACCCTTAACAAATAAAAACTAAATAACCCTAGTAAAATTGTCCATATGTTTCATTTACAGTCATAGAATATAACCACTAATCGTAGTTGGATTTGACCTTAACTTATAAAAATAAATTCGCTAAACCCTTGGTGTATATATGCCTCTCTTTCCATCGCGAAACTTGGGATCTGCACCGCTTAATTTAAGTGAAGCGTAAATAAACTATTGAGTTCGTGTGAAGCAATCTTATTGGTGAGGATTTCTGTATCGTTGATCAAACAAATAATGATAAATCACATGGGTTCCTCATTGGGATATTCTAATTAAACTTCACGTGGCCAGCAAACAATTATTGATCATATACAAAATATTTTTGTTTTAAGAAAACAATGCATTCAAATAAAAGCAATTTTCCACAATTGACCACGTTTGGTTCACAAAAATTAAGGAAAAAGAATTATACGAAAAGTATTACAAAATATAATTTATATCAATATGATAATATATATATATATATATATATCAAAGTTCATAAATTGTTACAAGTAAACAAAAGTACTTCATTGGTCCATTTTTTTAAATTTACTATTGATTTGACACCTTCCTTATATCACTCTTTGAATATATTTCCTATTGACTTAACACACTTTTTAAAAAATAATAAATAAAATAATAATTTTATTATATCGTCCTTTGAATATGATCCCTTATTTCAAAACAATTATCATGTTTCGCTTTTTAAGAGTCAGTTTAACAATTTTAAAAGCTAAATTTAACTACATTTGATATTTTAAAATTTAAATTTAAATATTAAAAAACTAAATAAAAAGTACTATAAATTATTTGGATAGTTAATTAAACTTCACGTGGCCACCTAACATTATGATTCAGACACAAAATATTTTAATTTAAACTATACAGTGCATTCAAATAAAAGAAACAGCCCATAGTCTACCACGTTTGGTTCACAAATCGAGGAAAACAATACTCTCTCCATTCACTATTATTTGTTCATCTAGAATTTTATATTCCCTTAAAAAATAATAATTAATATAAATATTTTATCAAATTATTATATTAACTAATGTATATTTTTAGGTTTTGAAAAATAATAATTAATATTAAGAATAAAATAGAATTTTTCTTTTTTCTTTTATGATATGTTAAAACTTAAAAGTATCAAGTAAACGTAAATTTATTTTTAGAATAGTAGAGAAATAAAAAGTGAATGGATCGTTCACTTTTTTTTATACACATTTTAAAAAATCATAAATAAAAATATAGTTTTATTAATTTACTCCTTAAAGATTTTTTCTTTTAAAATTTACAAACAAGTGTCTATATCTTCAAAAAGAATTAATATGGACCAGTGTAAATTGACAAGTTATTAATTTGAATTTATTTACTTACAGTAATGTAGACAATTAATATGAAACGGAGGAAATTTGCTAGTAAATTTTATCCAGTTAACTATACCTACTCATAGTTGTGATTAGTGTTTTAAAAAATGGGAACGCAAACCAAGATGTTTTATGCCGCACGGGGCGAGATCGTAAGCCAAGTGTATATATATGGACCAATTTGTATAATTTTCCAGTCTCACCAGAAAATAAAATAAGCAAATATGAAATCCATTTACTTTATTTTAGTCAATCTCTTTATCTCCCAGTGTATATTGTCATCACAAGTTCAGAGTTTTGATTTCTTCTACTTTGTTCAGCAGGTATGCAGTGAGTATATATATTTGAATGTGATATTTAAAATTTATAGGTTCATGTATTTTAGGCAGAGAGGTGAATTTATAATTTAATCAGTTTAATCTGCATCAAAATGAAGTTTTGAATTCATATGAACCTACATATTATATAGTGACATTCGTCCTTGATTTCAAACTCCTCTTCTATATCATTAGCACTCACATTTTCTTATCAGTTCCCGTTTGGTCATAGATTATGAAGTTGAAATTCAAATATGAAATTGTGATTTTTTTGAAAGTTCGTGAGCAGAAGTCAAATTTGAAAATATTTGAAGATAAGATCAAATCCAATTTAATCAAATTTCATAGTCAAACAGATATTTAAATATAAATTCTCAAAATCTATGATCAAACGCTAACTAATGTTTATTTTCTGATCAGTGGCTACCAGCATTATGTGACAAGAAAGCAGCATGTTGTTACCCAACTACTGGAAAACCAGCATTAGATTTTGGGATTCATGGACTCTGGCCAGTTTACAATAATCACACATTTCCATCCAACTGTAATGGGAATTCTCCTTTTGATGAAAATCAAGTAAGTTTTAGCAGATGTCTCGAGTTCAAGTCCCTCTAGATACATAGTCAGTTTTATTAGGGAACACTTTAGCCCCTAATATGAGATTTTCCTGCGCGAATCTGAATTTATAAGTCAGACTCTTATATGGATATCGGACCCCGTGTGAGAATAAAAACAAAAAAAACAAATAAAGATATTGTATCTACCTATTTAACTTTGGATTTAATGTACTTAACAACATAAACAACTTATGTTGTTAAGTTATCCTCCCTTTCTTTCAATTTGTTTGACTTATCTGACTTGACATGAAGTTTAAGAAAATAAAAAAGACTTTTGAATCTGGTGGTTTTAAATTAAAGATATGTCAAATATATCAAAATATTCTATAATCTTGTGGTCTTAAACATGTCATAGTCGAAAGTTGAAATTAAAAAATTACTAAAACTCGATTTTGTATATTTGTAACAGATCTTGGACTTGATGAGTGATATGCAGAAGGATTGGCCAACATTAGCTTGTCCAAAAAACAATGGAAAAAAGTTTTGGGCCCATGAATGGAATAAACATGGTACATGTTCCCTTTCTATGTTGGATATGCATTCATATTTCCAAGTTACACTTGCTCTCAAGGAAAAAGTGAATCTACTTCAACTTCTCAAGAATGCAGGTACTAACATCTGTTTAATCGATGACGAAACTAGAAATTTATATAAGTGAATTAACATAAAATAACTTTTGAATCTCCTTTATTTATCGCGCTATTCAGTTGAATCCCCTTCCGCTAATAAGTTCAACATCTACTTCAAATTCAAACTTTGTGTAGTTATTTTTTGGCATAATACATAAACATGACCCTTAACTTGGCATCAACCGGCAACTATAACCTTTAACTTTGGGTATGCAGAAGTAGACACTTAAACTTGTATAAAATTGAACAAATAGACACATTCGTCCTACATGGCACCTTACATGGATATTTTGTGTCCTATGTGGCGTCCTATGTGTATTATGTCATGTAGGACACATGTGTCTACTTCTTCAGTTTAATACAAGTTTAAGTGCCTACTTGCGCACACTCAAAGTTGGAGGTCATAGTTATTCGCTGAAACCAAATTAAGGGTCATATTGTTTTGTTAAACTTGATGTTTTACGAGATGTAAAATAATGCCAGGAATTCGACCTGATGGAGGATCTTATGGCATGAAAGCAATTAAGGAAGCTATAAAGAATGGAATTGGACATGATGTTGTGATAGAATGCAACAATGATGTGTTTGGGAATAATCAACTTTTCCAAGTTTATATTTGCGTTGATAAAACAGGATCAGACCTTATTGAGTGTCCGATGATACTCAAAAGGAAATGTGATGAAAACATTGTATTTGCTGACTTCGGATCTGATACTGAGGGATCTTTCATTTCTTTATAATGTATGTACTCAAGGGCGCGACTCAATAGAATGAGAGGTTGATCAAGTCAATTGTAATAAAATGCATTCAACTTTGTTAAATAAAAGTTCATATATGTTGACTAAACAACATGAAACATGGAAAACATCTAATCAATTGTTAGTTGGTTACAACCTTGAGTCGATTAATCCAAACTTGCGTCATACCTTTGAAACATTTTGTCACACCTCAAAAATTCGCACTGATCGAATTATTGTTAAGTATCTTTTATCCTTTTTATAATAGCAATATGCATATACTTAATTCACTTTGTGGAATTTCATTGAATATATATTTTATTGTTATTGTTTATGCATATATCAATCGACCATAGAGGTACACACAAAACAAGGAGGTTCCTAATGGTGGAAAGTAAAGGCAAGAACAAAACCAACAATAAGGAGGGGATTGAAATCTTAATAGAAAGGGAATACAAATTCAATGAGTCCATGAATAATAACTAGTGTTACCATTTTATTATATTAATGCCATTTAATTAGTTATTTATCATACATTATTGAGGGGTTAATGCGCAATAGCCAGGTCTAGGAGAGTTATCCCCTATATAATTAATTAAGAAAATAAAATTTGTATCGTTGATGTTTTTAAAGTATTTGCACAAGATGGGAGAGTATTCATGCTTATAATACTTTTATAATATCATTGACTAAT